TGCTTTTTAGCAGAATCAAAAATGGCATGGAGCAGAGGAAGCATGGAGCTGCGTCAGCATTGGTAAGTACTTTATTTTTTTCCCCCCCCCCCCCGTGGATTAGGGCTCATGGCGATACCACGTTAAAAAAAGCGCGCCTAAAGCTCTACCTCCAGGAGCAGTACCGTATCATTTACCTGATTGGACTATCCTAAGGTGGTGTGGAAACGAGCTTTTCAAAAATTGTTTCCCCGTTCATTTTACGATTTGTGCTTTATACTGCCGTGCTGAGGAAAAACGCCCTATGAATATTCGAGAGGTGCCAAATGTCCTCCGATAAAACGTTTAGTAAAGACGAAAGTTATGAATATTTTTCCTTGCTCCACTGCTGCAACTGGTGCAAGCAACTATTGCTGCTCCTAAGACGCACAAATTGCTGGCCAATTTTTTGAAGGGGAACTGGCCAGAGTAAGCAAAATGTCCGAGACTGCAGCGTTACGTACCTATTTTATTATCGGTATTTAATGCGTTTTCCCCCAAAGTACCTGCGTATTTTATTAATTTGATTTTTGCTTTACTTTCTATCCTCATTACTTATTACCGAACGCACTGACGTGAAGCGGTTGAAGATTTGTATCAAGAGTCCTTTTCACACAAGATCTAGGTATTTAAAACGTATGAAGTTCCAAAAGGTTGAAAAATCGCCCGCTATTTCAAAAACAAGCGGGAAAGCTGGGAACAAAATGGGCGACTCAGTTTCACCCTGTACTGAAAACTGAAATGTCATTATGAAATCATTTGTCTGTCTTTCAGTAAATTCTCGAGCGCAAGTCTGTATGATCCGGAAGTAACAACGTATTTTTCAAAGTAATTGCGAATAATATTAGAAAGAGTTGATTCATAAAATGTGAGAGTGAAAGTTAATTTTCCACGTTATTGAAAGTTGTAAGGGTAATTTTTGTTTTATGAATTGGACGTATTGCGACACTTTTACCCCCTTCTCTTCCCTTCGCCCCTCTTCTGATGGCTTCGCAACCGCGGTCGAAAAAATGTAAATAAAACTTCACGTCGTTCTGTCATTGTAGTAGACAAAATTTATTCGAAGTTTTTCAACTCACACAGTTCTATTCCTAGTGTTTTCAAGTACTAACGAAGCAGTTTGTCGTGTTTTATTATAAATGGCATGGAATCACCGCTTCTCGAGGTCCTAAGTGGCTCTGCAAACTTATCATAAACCTAAACCTTTCAAGGAAAAAGTATGTGAAGTTCTTTTTACCTCAGTTTTGGTAAGTAAGTTTTACTTAGTTTCATGGAGAATATTTCTAGGAATTTTCGGTCCATTGGATAACAGCACTAAGTGTACCGCTTTGAATAGCTATCTTGGATTTTCAAGGAAAGTTTTAGTATTAGCCTTTGCGGTTATGGCGCAGAAATATTGCTCATCCTTTCCTGTCCAATTTTATATAAAAGTCAACTGCCTGTGTTTTCATACGTTGACCTTGGCTGGATTTGAATATTTATCTACTGGCAAAGGTTGTCAGCGTGTAATCAATTTTACAGTAAAGCTCGTTAAAATCAGTCATTGTGTCAATAGCATGATTGATAACCAAAGGCTTACTTCTCGAACACCTTGGTTTTAGGATTGTGACTTTCTTTATCAGTTTCCTTTGACAATCCAAATCAATGAATTGTTTTTAGGCGCTAATAATAAGGTTGGTGTTATGTATCAATGGGGCTTTTTCAACATTGTTTTTCTATTCATTTTCAAAAAGTATCTGAAGTTAACGCCGAACAAGTTCACACACTTCTACAGTCGGACAGAGGATCCGCTATTTTGATATTTCATTAACTTTATTGCTAAACTGAAGACAGGTGAGCTTTGGTCGTACTCTAAAAGTGAATGAATCCATTTAACCAAAACTTTCTAGAGATGAGAATGCCTGCATTTCTCCATTTTTCATCGAACTTTAGCTATAAGAAAGACTTTTGAAGTTATCAAACATGCAACCCTGCTTTAAACGAAATATTTAACTTCAACAGATTCCATAACGTCACAAGGAGAAGTGATCGGAGCGTACACTTTCACCTGCGCTTTTAGTTACCTTCCAGTTACAATTCGACAGTGTAAGTCGGCAATCACATATCTCATTTGCGGTGTCTGAAAATCTCCGCCTCCAGGTTCTTTTTTTAGAAGAGAAAAAATTGACATCATTCCTTGAAGTTTTTGCAAAATTGTTTTTAGTACAGAGAAGAAAAACCATGGCAGTTGTAAAGAAATGCTGTTGAGTAGTTTTCTGTTTAAAAAATAAAGTATGACAAGAAGTCTGCGAATGTGATTGCCAACTTACATTGTCGAATTGTGAATCGAGGTTACCTATGTATCCTGACCTTACCTGCAGTAGGTATTATGAGTGTTTGCAGTGAATTCCTCCGTGGTGTTTTTCAGTGTAAAATTGCTTATTCGCAATATAAATTGTATGGTAGTAATGTTGGATGGGTTGAAGGTGGTTGAAACCTTGGTATTCACCTCTTGTGAAATCACAAGCCTCAGGCCAATGAGGAAGGCACTTTTTATAACTTAAACTTTAAGCCTCCTCTTACTAGCGGTAGCTTTTTATGGCTTCGAGTTTCGAGCTTTTTACAGCTTGAAGACGCACCTCTTAAAATTCAGAAACTTCAATTTTTAAGTCAATACCTGGATCTTGCAACAGCCATATTGGCTCATCTTTTGAGATGTTTAAGACTCAATCTGTGCCCATCCTCTCATTCCTGCGAAATGAACCGTAGCAACTGCACCAACCAGTCGGGTCTATTTTTTTTTATTTACACTGATAACCTTTATGTTTGCCCTCTGCAGGTACAAAATAACAATGGAGAATATCCCTGTGCAGTTTACAGTTCCTCCGCCAAGTTACGCCATGGCACCCCCGCCTCCTCTGCCAACAATGGCCCCCCCACCCCTTCCGATGGCTCCCCCACCTCCACCACCACCAATGAGCTCATATCAGCAGCAGACGCAACAGATGTCCAAACAGATGTCTGTACCAATGTCAGGGGCGACTAACCCTACATGGGTGACACCAGTGAATGATTGGCGAGGACCAATGCCACGGCCAGTCAGGGCCTTCAATTCAAGACAGCCATGGCGAGGAGCTCAGCGCTTCAAGAATCACTCTCGTTTCTCTCCGTACAATCGGCAGCAGGCTCCTTACAACAACAATTTTCAGGTGAGTCAATAATGTTGCTAAGCAAATGAGGATTGTTAACCTAACCTAACTAAAATATGGACTTTTATGAAATAAGGATAGGACCCTTAAAAAGGTATAACTAATGTCAGACTGGGAGGCAGTCTCATTCTCTTGATTGAAATGTACTGCTCTGACAGTGCACTTCGAACATTGTCACCCTCAGTCAATCCACAGCGACTATCGAGTGGCAGCAGCTGTGCAGCTATTAGTAAACAGAAAGTGATCAACTGCTTGCCTACTAGTCTGATGAGCATTCAACTTCTGACCAAAATCAATCGCTCTATCCTTTTGGTTCATCAACTTCATACTTTAGTCGGTAGAGAATTCTGGAATCAATTCTTTTGAAAAGGACTGGAGTACATTTTTTGGGAGGAAAAAAGAATTACTTACACTTTCTATCCGTCATATGCTTTTTAAGTAGCTATAGCTAATGGACACTCATTTGAGTAAGGTATGATGTTCACCATTTTTTTCTGATATTATATACAAACAACTGGAGAGTTAAAAAACGCATATTTAAAATGATTTTGGAGAAATTGAGTAATTATTCATTACACGATAATATTTATTATTTGAAATAACTGCATAACTTTTTCTAATCTTAGTAACTTATCAACAAAATCAATGATACCTGGAAGAAAAAAAACGCACCGATAAATGATGTTGCCAAATGCCAACCTCTATACCTTAAAAATGTAACCTTTATTAAGAACTTCGTCCACGTTGTCATAATGTCATCCAATGAAGCTAAGATTGGCAACACTGGATACTTGTATTGGTGTATATCTGTCAAAAAAACTCAGGATAATGTCTGCACGGTACTTCTATGTATTTTACATTCAATCTCTTCTTCCTCAATTATAATTTTTTTTCCTCTTCTAAAAATTAGTTTAATTTTGTTCCGCTTATTTTTCAGCAAAAAAAGCAGCAGCAAGGAGTTTTTGCTGTCCCGTTTCCTCCAAGAAGAATGAAAGTAGCTAATAAAACCCCTGGAAGACCAGCCCCCTCTAAACCGGCATCAGAGGTAAAGATTCCATCTCGCAAGCTTCTTTAGAAAAAATCCGTAGTTATTTTAGGAATGACGATTCTAAATTTGTTGACAGGGTATGTTTGCCATTTAGGGATAAGAGGATCTGAAAAAAGTGATAGAAGCTAAGTTCTCTCTGTACTTTTGGTTTTAAATTGAACAAAGTTGGTGCCTGGGACCCATTGTATTAACTGATCATATCGAAATTATGGTATTGTTGTTCAAATTCAAGTATCGATTACAAAATGACATTTACACGTAAGTACTGCTTAAATTACTGATTACATTGATTGTAGATATTACTGATCCTGAGTTCTATTGTAGATATTACTGATCCTGAGTTCTCTCTGTATTTTGAATCTTCATGAATGGAATTTCTGAGACTCTGTTTTTTTTTAGGCTGAAGGAGAAAACAGTGTCAAGAAAAAAGGCAAAAAGAGATCAATGTCTGAAAAGTATCCCACAAAGCCATGGAACCGGGAGGATGCTGAGAAAGCTCTGGCGATAGAAAACAAGTTCAGAAACTTGAACAGCAACAACGCTGTTATGATTAGATTTCCTGATCCAGAGCTGTCCAAGGAAATCGTGAGAAGTTATCATCCTGGAATCAAATCGGTGCATTTCCAAGCCCCCAGTGGCCAAAGGTGAGATTCTGATCCTTAATAGCTGAGAGAAATGACAGCAAATCTGTGAATTTTTAGTTGACAGCTAAAAAGAAGTATTTCATACGCCTCATTTTTCAGAAAATCAGAATTAATTTGTTATTTTCACAATTTGAGCATCTGCGATGTCATTGATTATTTTCCCTTCGAAAGTCATATCCTGGTTTCATCCTAAAAAAAATCTCTTTTACATGCCTGTCAAGTATCCTCTAAAGTCATCTGGAAAGTGGCAAAATTTAAGTCTAGTTTTACCCAACCCTTAGTTTATTCATTTATATCCTTAATAGTCCATATTTTTAGGATCTTCAAAAGTCCTAATATTTATTAAATTATTGTAAAGCAAATTTACTAATTGCTTGGATCAGTTACTTTTTGTTGGTTGCGTCCAAGTCATTCAACTGAATCCTATTTTTTTGGCATCAATTTTATGAGCTTCAGAGATTGCATCTCTTAATCTTTTTCATGTTGATAGGAAGTAGAATGTTGTAGCCACCCCTTATGACTCTTGCTCAGTTTCCATTAATATTTTTCTTTCTTTCCCTATGTCTAGTAACAACTTGATTATTTGTTTGGACAGGTATTGTTTCGTTCAGTTACGAGAAGGTGCTAATGTAGATGAAGCTATTGAAGACTTAAATTTAGTTGAATTTGGTAATGGGCGACTCATAGCGGAAAGAAAAACGACAATGAAAGAAGATGATGCTGTTGTCACCCCAGAATGTATAGATCCTTACACGTAAGTTTGCGTTAACCTAAATTTTTTCCGCGCAAGCACGCCTCTGGTGTTTTTCTCTACCGATATGCCGTATAGTTGACTGTATTCACTCCAAAGTGATAACCGCCTTGGCTTAGTGCGTTATGGCATTCTTTCGCTTGAATCTCAGGAGTATGCATATGTCCAAGATTTTGAAGTTGTTTACTATGCTGATAAAAAGAGAAAATAACCTTTTTGCAAAACTGAAATGTTACATCACTTCAGAAGCTTCAATACTAATTATTAATCATATTCTTACAACTTCAGGTACAGCTTTAGTGCTGGCATACGTGAAAAATGTGACCTGTGTGTAGTTTACAGTGCTAATAGCAAAAACACGCCTCGATGGCAAAGGAATAATATCGCCTGACCAACAATTTTGGTAATAATGAGTTAGCGACTTTACTGCATTCTACAGTACTAATTGAACAAGCTGATGGTTTTTTTCTATTTCTGCACGGGAGCTCCGTAATAATGCTGTAATGCAGGAAAAAATAAACCTATCTCTAAAATCACAAAAATGCCGAAGATTTCTTTCATCCTGTAAAATTAATCATTAGTTTGCAAATAGGTGGCGGTGCTCCCTAGCCATTGTCCTGTTGTCACAACCACATCTAGAGCCAGTGTTCAAAACTCCACTTTGAGTTTCAGGAGCCATGTTGCGCATCATGCTTGATTTTAAGGGGCCCTTGAAGATTTTTTAGGGGCCAAATTCACTTTTTGCACACATATCACAGCACATTTAGTGAAAAGTTAGACGCAGGATGTTTTAGTTACAGAACTAGTAGCTGTAACTTGGGGGAAATTTCAAAAAATAGAAAAATTAGGGGGTTTTTTTGGGGGGGGGGGCGTAATTTTTTAGGGGCCATGTTGGCGCAGAGCCCTCATTTTTCAGGCGCCACGACCGATTCCTTAGGCGCATTTGGCGCGTTGGCGCCTGTGAGTTTCGAACACTGTCTAGAGCGTAACCCTGAGAAATTAGAATTTCCCAAGTCTCAGTGTCTGTCACTCTCACCAAGAGAGGAAGTTAGAATCAATTAGCGAAGAGGAATTTAGCTCTTAACTGTAGCCTACAACTGTTTTTTTTTGGTGTATGTCAACACTACAGCTAGATGAAGTGTGTGCTCTGGCCTAAAAATTAATGAGTAATCTCTCTAAAAAATACTGGTATGATTTTTGTTTCAATATGTTGTAAAAACCTCTGTAGACATTAATGTAGAAAAGTGGAATTATGTTCCGAAAATTATATGAAATCTCATTCTTTCAGGCTTTATGTTGGTAATCTACCAGTCAGCATAACTGCCAGCCGTATAAGGGAACAATTTCCTAATTCATCCAGAGTAGATATTGGGTTTGCTCAGAAAATGAAATTCACTAGGTAAGATATGCTTTCTTCTTCCTTTTTTTCGTGTAATATATTATATCAGGTAAAAATCAGCATGACTTAATCTACTAGGATCCTTAGGATCTAAAACCATTACAAAATTTTTTACAGAAGCAGGCCCAGACTAGTCCCTTGTGACTAATCCTATATATATTTTACGACAGAGACTCTTGTAGGGCACATGTCTGATCCAAGCAGACTATTTTCTCCTTATGGGTGGATCAAAGTGCCTTGACCAAATTGCAAGCTACCTCCTGGTACCCACGTAGCAGTAATCGCGATTAGTTGCAATTTGTTCCAAGAATGTATCGCGATTTTATTGATGTTGATTTATTACATATCATCGGACCAAAGAATGCAATAAATTGCTATTTCATTGCTAAATTTGCAATCTTAATATCGTGATTTCATCAACGGCGATTTATTGCAACCTTAGCAATCAAAAAATCGTGATAAATTGAAATAAGATTTGGATTTTATCAAACGCAATTTTTAGAGATAAAATTGCGACAAAATCGAGGATAACTGCTTAAATGTTGATGATCCTAGTGATTTTGTCACTGAAAAATCATAAAAGAATCGCAATTTAATCTCAAAATATCACAATTTCTCTGTTGAAAAATGCTATCCGCGTATGTTGGATACATCTTGTTTACGGAACTGTTTTCTGGTAGTGAAAAATTAAAACGAATCGGTAAATGTTCAGTGCAACCAAGCAAGAGGCAATTCTTCATTGTTTTTTCATGTCTGCAAGGAGAAATATACAAATTATCATTAATACTCGAATCTTGAAATGTCTGACCCTCAGAGTAGCCCTTAAACTGAACAGTGTTCCTAACCGTATTTGGTATTTCTTTTGGTTTTTACAGGTGGGCTTTCATCAGGTTTGAAAATGTAGATCTAGCAATCGAAGCCTTTAAGTCAGCTATAAACCTAGAGTTTGACTCAAGGTCTGTTGTGTTAAGGTTTAGACGTGCAACCGCAAAACAATTAGGTATCTGTGATCAATCAAAGAATGTGAAGGTAAGATCTAAGGTCACATCTTAATTTTTATCCTTTTACATCCAGAGAAAGTGCAACAGCAAAATGGTTTTTGTGTGAAAATTCTCGAGTGCCAGAAGAAAAAATGAATGATCTATTAATTTCGCACATTCTGCTCAATTAACTTGTTTTTCCGGCTGATTTGTAAACCGAAAAAATTTAAATACCTGTGCCGTTTCCATTCATTGTATTTTTGTTTTGACCCTAACCAAGGCTGGTTGTTTAGTGTTATAAGTCATTTCTGAAAAGAGGCAAATATTCAATTGAAAAATGACTTCTCGTAAATAATTTTTGGGCACTATTGCCTGCCACATGATTGAAAAATAAATAGGCCTTAAAGACCATAGCAAATATTACGTTAATATGAAGTAAGAAACGTTTCAAAGAAATATTTGACAGATTTAAGGCTCAGTGAACTTAATCTTTTGTTAGTGAACCAATCAAAATCACATTAAAACAATAGATACATTGACATTCCACTGATATGCATTTCCGCTAAACGCCATCCTCAGGGTGTACAGGTTTGCATAAATATTACAAGACAGTGAAAGAACAGTTAAAGAATAAAATGGAGAAAAAGCGTCTAAAAATGATAAAATTTCAACTTTTTTTTTCTTGGGCAGTGACAATACTTCCTCTACCCGCGAAGGGAGCGAGAAAGTAACATACATGATATGGCTCAAAGACTAAGGTATTATGCAATGTATAACTAGGAAAAATAGTCCTAGTGCTTTAGTCTTCAAGGTAGGAAGTTCTTTCCCTATAGGTATTCAAGAGATAAAGATTACCAAAAATTGACGCTACATATTTTAAGTTGCTCCTTTTTGTTTGATTTCAGACTGAAAATATAGTAGAAAAACAGTCGAGTTCAGGAAGCAACTCATCAAAAGAAGCCGCAAAAGATTCTCAAATTAAGGTAATGATGGAAGATTTGAAAAGTTTCAATGCTGACAAAATTGTTTAGCATACCTAAATGTACTTATGTATAAAACATGTACACATGCTCTTTACTTCTTCTCTCACTCTAACACTTCATATTATTTTTTTTTCTTTTTTCCCCTTTTTTCCTTCTTTTTTTTCTTTCTTTTTTACCAAAACTTAACACTAATGTAATTTACCAATTTAATGTTAGTTTCAAATTAGTCGGGGAGTTTGAAAGCTAGTCAGCTTAATTCTTACAAAAATTCAGATGCATTTAAGTCTTACAGAGCCAGGGGTGCAGAAACCTCCTGATCAAGCGAACATGATCGTAGGCTGCTCACGTACAAAACTGGGATGGCTGTGAAAATTGTGAAACCCAGCTCGCAACAGCATTAAAATCATTTATATCTTCGATTATCTCGAGGCAATTTGCTTTTTCTCCGATACTTACAGTAAAATGTTCATGTTTTTCCCCAAAATTGCCGTAAAATGTAAGTGTTTCTTTGTTGAATTGCAGAGGAATTATCAAATTTACTCAAAATTGCGGCAATTTGTACAGACGGGACATAAAGTAGATCGCAGCGCTAAAAATTTTTGGGAGAGCAAGGACACTCTTTCACAGAGCATCAAATGGGTTATGTCAGGGTAAAAAACTGTAAATAAAGCACTAAGTAATTTATGAAAGGATCTGTGTCGGCAATTTTAGATAGTATATTTATTAAAATTGCTCCTAAGTTTAGTTCTTAATCTTTATCTCTTTAGAGAGTAATTTAACAATACACTCAGGGATTTTCTTTTTTTTAATGAAAAGTTCCTAAAATTGTTAAGCTCTTTTTTATTGACCCATTTCTATTTTTTTTCTTTTAATATTTGCAGAAAGAACCGAAGCTTGAGTCTACAGAAGAAGACGATGAAGAAGACTATGAGCAAGATATCGAAAATGAATTGGACTCAGTTATGGGAGATGTCGACACTTACACAGAGCTTGGTGATGATGAGCTCGACTACATGTACAATATCGGAAATGAGGTGAGTTGTCTCCAATGTGATCCTTTAGCTGTGATCGTTCTTACCCGGCAGCGAATGCCTTCAGCCATATCGATAGTGAACCTGCAGGAATTTGCATCTCGGAGTGTAGTGGTACAGACTTCTTGTCATACTTCTTTGTCTACATGGAAAACTACTGCATGCCAATTCTTGAAATTTTTGGGGATTTTTCTTTGTGGTGTGTATAATATTCTATAAAATTTTTTGGCGACCATGTTGATTTGGTCTCCTTTTAAAAAATGAAATGAGAGAGGAGATTCTGAAACACAGCAACTGAGATGGTACTTTTGTAGTTTCTTTGTCGGTATGTTGCTATCACAGAAGCATGGAATAAAAATTGTTCCTCATAGCTGGAAGAGCAGTCTGAGTTGACAAATGATGAGGGAGTCGATCTCTGCTGGTTTAACCTTGCATTGCGCAAGGAGCAAAGCCTGTGTGGAAGAAATTGAACCTTAAATAGTCGAACGACCAACAAGAAAGTTGTTTTTTTTATACATGAAGTATTTCATTTTTGTGGAAGATGTAAACATACCCTGGGGGATCTTAATATTTAAATGGGTTTTTTTTTTAGGTGGATGACGATGATGATGAGGACGAGGTAGTGGCTTATTCTACATCTTGCAATATGAACAAACGATTTAACATTGACAACGAAGATGACGATGATGACGATGACGAAGAAGTAGAGCGTCTTCCATTCCGCTCTAATCTCCACGATAACAGTGATGATGATGTAAGTTACCCCTAACTCATAGTTTTCACTGTCTTAACATCATCAACAAACTTACAGGGGCATTATCCCTCTACAATATTATTCTCCAATGCTGTAATAAGACGTAGCAAAACCTCGATAAGTTGAGCCTTTGTAAAGTCGAAAAGCTGCTAAAATTTTGTGGCGCTCATGATCTGGATTATTGGGAGTATCTGATATTTTTTGTGATTGATCTCATTACTGACTCGTAGATGTAGGTGTGAAGGAATCATCCATCTAGTTTTTCTTTGGGGGAGCAAATTAATTCATATAAAAACCGTTATTTTCTAACTCATGAGTGGAATTTGGAAAGTTTTAATGCAACCATTGTATTCCACGTGAAATTTCGATAGGGAGATATTTCTTGTGCTGCTTTATTTACACCTTGTCTAGTGGTTCATTATTTCAAGGAAGATGTACATAATCAAACTAGAAATTTCTTTTTTTTACTCTGCAGTTCATTCCTCTTAGTTCATTTCCATTAATCTATTGTTTTTTACTTTTCAGGAGCCTTTCCTGAGGAACCGAAGTTTTCTCTAAATTGTGATACTGAAAAGTTTTTCTGTGATTGCTTATGAGGGTCTGTAAGAGTTGAGTAATTTTGAGCTTCCTAAAGCTCAGTTTTTAGCCTACCCCTTGTGGTAATAGCTAGTCAGATTTTGACTAGTTTAAGATGTCAAATTAAGATTTATCGTTTGTATACAAATTGCAATTTCTCAATCATAACTTAGGCAGTCTATCTTCAAAAAGAAAACCCCTGAAAATTCCATATTTCATGGATTTATTTTGATCTTGAGTTGGCTTTACATTTGAATTAATTTCTCGTTGTGGTTATAAGTATTGGTGCTTCATTTTTCGTTTTGCAAAGCTGCATGCAGTTCATCTTGGACTATGTGTTAGTACGCTTTTCTTGGATGGAACTTTTTGTATCTAATTTGAAATTAATCAGCATACTATTAATTCAAATTTTCAAGTTTTGCGTTGTAATATTTGCAGTAAAAGGACGTTTAAAAGCCAACATCTGAAGTATTACAAGAATTAAAGTGACATTTCAACACTATTTCTCCATGGCTTGTGAAGCGATTATGGATAGGGACCTGATAGGATCTTCAGATTCGTTGAATCTAGAAAGAGCATATAACTTGAAGAAATATTAGGAAGGTAGGATTGAAAGAAAAAGAGTTATACTGTTTTAAAATTCAATAGATTATGATCATGGAAGAATATGGTCGTAATTTTGGGAAGCTTTTCAAAGCATTTTCACTATTTATACATTAATTAATGGCAGGAAAAACAGTTCTTCATAAATCAAGTAATCCATTGGACAGGGAACTATCACAATACAGAACAGAGCATCTTATAACTTGACAGATAATGTTAGCAAACACCAACTTAGATTCTTTTGTTAATCCTAGCATTTTGATGTTGTACGTTCAACTACTGCAAGTACCTTTACCTATGTTCTCACTGCTTTAATTTATGTTTTTGTCATGTACCTTATTAATTTATAAGCTATCTGTAGTCCTAATGTAAATCACACATCACATTTTATTTGTTTTATCATAATATACTGCTCAGTTTATTAGGTCCTCTTTTGAATATAAAGCAAAAGCGTTGTCAGTACCTATATGAATAGGGCAGGCATGTTGGTGTAAAAAAAATATTATCCTTAGCATTCAAAGTTGACATTTGAATGGCCACTCTTTGTAAATTTTATTTTTCAAGCTTTCACGCTTTTCATCGCATCAAAGCTATCTAGCTATCTCGCATCTAGCTATCGTGACCTAGGAGCCGTTGATTTTTTCTTTTCCTTCAAGTTGATGGATTTGATAGTTTCTTCACTTGCATCTAAATTGTTCATCTAAGCACTTTTGTGCATTTTTCGTACGATTGAATTGATATCTTAGTAGCATTTATAATGATGAATCTATCTGTTATTGTCTGTTTAAAAAAGAGTCTCCAAAGCTCAGATTCAAATTTGGTAGGAAAGCATATTTCACCAGTAGGTAAACATTGAAATTCGAGTCTTTGACAGTTAACATGCTTACGCATAACAAAGAATAAGTTTCGAGTAGATTAGTTCATCTTTGTGCTTATGGATGGCTCTAAGTTGCATTTTAATTAAAAATTGCAAGCCCTAAGCATATTAAAACTTTCAGTAGCTTTTTCTTAAAAGTGAATCTTTCAAAATGCAAACTTCAATCATCGAAATTTGTATTCTTTCTCATGCCAAAATGTTACCTAAATGCTTTTCCCAACAGTAACACTGATATCTCACCTTAGAATTTGTTTTTTTAGCTCTGATGTCCTTTCTCTTGCGGGCGGTTACAGATCTCAAATTCTTCCGCAGTGCAAGAATCTTGTCAACAATATGAATTAAAAAAATCTTGTTTTGTTGAATTCACAACGTTCTTTGGTTCTTTACCACTGCAAATGCACTTTCGTGATATCACTCTAATCTGGAGAACAAATCATGTGTGAGGTAGTGTGTGTGGTCATATATGCCTAAGTTTTGTACACATGTATCTCCGTTTTGGCTGTGAAAATTTTTGGAGAGTTCCCCAGCATCAGTTACTGATTTGCGAAGAGCAAGTCTTGTTCCAATTCAACAGCTGTTTCCTTTTAAATTGTACTGGATGAATTATTCCAATTGTCTGTTAGAGGATATCCATCTCATTTATTTGATAAAGTAAAACAATATCTTACAGCCAAAATGTGAGTTGCCCAATTTTAGAAATCAATGGAAACCTCCTTTATAATTTTTATAAGGACATAAAACTACTTAATTTTTTTTTATTATTATTTTTATTGATCAAACCAATCCGTAATAATGAAATAAACAAAGTCTAAATTTGCAGAATTTATAGTTTTCCTCTCACGTAAGGACTACAACATTTTGCAATGAGGATCCATAATTTCCGGCTCAATGTATGAAAGCACCTATCTGCGGTCTGACATGTCAATACGAAAAGACAGGATACAATCCTATCTTAACCATGCAGTATATCACTTTTCAATGTCGTATCGTGCTGCTTTTAGCTTTAAATAATTAGACCGCTGTATAGGGGCAACAATGGTACAATTGGTGTTTTAGAAATTAGCCAGACATGAAAGTTCCTATCGCAAAATGTAGTCCATTTGAAACAAATGAGAGCCATCGAAATTGAGTGGTGCTGTCTGCTGCATGCTGTGACAATAATGGGCAAGAGTCAAGATACGTTAAAAGTTGTTTAACAAGTTTGTAAAACTGCATCTTTTTTTTTTTTTAAACAAAGCTTGGAAAAACTTGAAATGTTTCCTTAGCCTGCACAAATCACAAATTGAATGTTTTCCGTTACATTTACCGTTTCAATAGTAGTGGCATGGCGTGCATTGTGATATATCAATTGATCTGCCTTTTGAATCTATGGAAAAGGATCGATAAACAGGGTGTTTGCAAGGAACTCCTTAATAAGTTATTTTTTTCCATAGCTTCAAATGGGGAAATATCGATAATCGATCATACATGCATCGCCTCTGTTCAATAGGTTTGCTCAATTTTGTGTCGAGGGTTTTCCATTCTACTCTCCCCTTTTGTAAAAACTGAACTCCGATTTGGCTTTTGAATTAATAATTATAGCGCATACATTTCTAAAACTGACATTTTATTTTTTAAGATTTCAAAACTGACCCAGAGTTGTGCATTTCCCTTATGAATCAGACATCCTGTCTCTTACGAAAATTGAAGTACAAATGTTTACTCTCCAAGGTAATACGTATTTAGTTGAACCCTAGTCATAGAACCATGCTTTGAGACAGTAGCTGCATAGATTTATCTACCTATATTCGTGTCCTTAATATTACTGAAAAAGGTCCAATTCAGGTTGTCTCAGTTAAATAATTGAGAATCATTGTCTTTTTTTTATTAATAAGCATAGAATTTAAACGTAAGTTCACCTTACATGGCAATTAAATTGCATGCAAGTGCTCTATAAATAGTAAGTTATTGTTAATTATCATTAAGACGTTAGACTTTGGTCAGTTTGATGAGCATCACAATTGCAGCGTTAGTTTTGAAAAATCAGACTTGTCATCTTTTCAAAATCAACGCTCCTATTGAATTCTTTATTTGATCGATACAGCTTTGCACAATCTGGGATTTAAATCCTTTAATAAATCATTTTAGAGCTTTGAATATCTTAAAGTTGCTCTCTGTTTTTGCATCATTGTAAACTTTTAGGTAAAATCTCTCTTAATGGTTGAATCTGTTCAATTGTTAATGATTTTCCTTTTCAATTACATTATCGGAGATAATTGAATCAAGATAATGTAGCGTCTGTTTCTATCTCTCCACTGCCCTTCATTGTTTAATATATTCAATTGAAATGTAATGTGATTTTATATCATCATCATTGATGTACTTATCCAAAAGTTTTAAGAAGTCCAAGTACCTATTAAATTTTAATTTTTAAGTTGTTCGCTGTGTTTGTGTGAATCATTGATGCAGAGTTTTTAAGCAAGGTAAGGCAAATTTCCTAGTCTTCCTTGACTTTAAAATGTGTAAGTTTTAAGAGTAATTTGTTAAAAAAAAAATGCCATTTTTCAGCCACTGAGGTAAGTAGTTTTAACGTTTATGAGCAAATCATCCTCAAACTAAACGAATTACAACAACACATTTTTTTTTTTTAAATTGTACATATAACTATTTTATTATTTATTTTGAGTTAAGAATTTTTGTTACTTCAGCCTGATTAATGGCAAAACAATTTAAATATATTTTAAAACATTACTTTTTTGTGTTTTTTGTTATTCGATGCATTGTCAAAAGGCCCGTTCCCTAGCGCATCTATTGAGAATATTGTCACTACCTTATTTGAGGTTCACCCATTTATTCAAATTTCATCACTATCTGCAAATGTTGCATCGGAACTTACTTGAGCCGTACTTATGAACTCTTTCAAAGAGCCATTCTGCTACTGCTGAAGGTAAACAAATTGGTTGTCAGTGGCTGTTTGTGCTAGGCACTAAGGCCAAGCCCTCATACGGGCGAATCTTATAAACAATAAACAATAAACAAATTGGGTTCTAAAGAAGTGAATGAATGTTGGTCACTTTCAAAGTGAATATTTAAAGTCTGAGACTTATCCTTAAAATAACTAATTTATTAACCGTACAAGAGAAAAGCATTTAATATTACTAAAGTTTCACGTACAAGGTTGGTACTTCAAGAGCGAAATCTTAACCACACACTGATGCAATCAGTTTCGTAGAATTCGGTTTGGTGATTCGTGGGCGATAAAACGTGGAGATAATTAAAGGTACCTATCGCTTTAAGTCTTATATTGAAATTCCCGCTTATCGTATCTTGCTCTCTGATTGGCAGCCCCTGTTTCAAGGTCATCTCCAAGTTACCAACATATATCAATCAAAGTCAATCAAGGTAAAGTTGAAGTTCAATGAAATTAAGTACTTTTGAAGTACTTTTTCTCTCATTACTCTTCTGAAGTCAGAATTGCATTCATTGATTTCAATTTAAGACTCAGCATTATTATTTGATACATGTTCAATTCGTGTCCCTCTAACAGTAGCAATTGAAAATGTAAGTTGGCAGCAAGAGAAATGGCAAGAAGACAACTTCCAGAAATCGCAGAAGTCCCTCCCTACCTACAAATCATCGAAGGTAATCATGAAAGAGTTTATTATTTTCGAATGCTTTTGGGTTTTTTAGAAAGAAAACTTTTATTTCAATTCGTCCAGATAGTATTTTTTCGATGCTAAAAGACTACAAGTGATCAAGACGGATAGTAGGCGTGACAGGATAGTGGTATTTGAGCTGGTGAGGTTGGCAGTAGATGCTGCTGTCTGGCTTGTTTGTTGTTTTTCGGGAAAAAATCGTCAGTCGCCCGAAATTTTTGGTGTGGAACCACGTCAGTCGCCAAATCGGTCGTATTTTTCGGTCCTCGCATTAAATCTTTTGCCGGTTTTGTTTGATTTTCTCCGGTGGAATCACTTTTAAGATTTAACAGAATATCAATCCTGCATCCGTTCGGTACTTTATTCGTTTTTGTTACTGTCGCAGTTAGTTTCCTTGTCCACGTACATCGTGTGCACTCGATAGACCAGCATTGAAGGATTATAACCTGTTGCTTTTAAAATCGTGATTGTTTTGTTTTGACCAGTTGGAGATTTTTCATTAAATTTTATCGTGAAAGTTTAGTTCAGCGGGTGAATTCCACATCTCTCAGTGTCTATCACATATTGTCTGAAGCTGTGGGTCAGAATGTAAGTATCGTCTGTCGCAGAATGTACTTAATTTTATTCGCTTAGCCTCATTGAGGTGTCTTGTTTTCATTAAATCCTTATAACAAGTGCTGGGACTTTATAATGGTTTTATTTTTTTAATAAAGATGATTTGCTTTCCTATTTGATGATATATTCGTGTTGGCGGTCGTTCACCTGCCACCGTTCGCAGTTTATTCAGACTACCTACACTGTATTGTTATCGCCTTGTTCCAAGGCGTTTTAGATCGATATGCCACCAAGTCAAGAATGTCAGTTGCACGCTTTGAAGCCATGCAACCCATGGGCTCTGCGATAAACACCGAATGAAAGAATCTAATGCATAATAGCTAATTCATAGTGATTTGCAATGAACTTTCTTTCGTTGTCAAATCAACTAATTTTCACTCTTTCTCTGTGAGCTTAGCCAGTGTTAGGTAGTTGGGATGTGTGCTCTTTGAAGGAAGAAGGCCTTAAAGTGATTCGACGGTTGTCATCTTTTGTGTCAGAGCAATGTGCGATATATCACATCAATTCGTTCCATAATTTCGGCTACTTGTCATCTTTTTTAAATTTTGAGATAGCACCTCTGTTGTTATGAGACTAAAGAATTCATGTACCAAAATGTAATATTTTGCCTCTGAAAAACCCTGCCTTTAATACGTTAAATTTCTTTGTCAAACTTGGTACATGAATTCTTTAGTCTGATGACAACAGAAAAGCGATCTCAAAATTCGAAAAAATTGACAAGTAGCTGAAATTATGGAATGAATTGATGCGATATATCGCACGTTGCTCTGACACAAAAAATGCCAACCATCAAATCACCTTAATTTACCTTCTACAGCATCTTGGAGGCAACCAACTGCTGTTGCAAATCAATTCATCTCTACGATGCAAAATACTCATTGTTAGATAGGGGCGCTTAATTCTTAAATCTGGCGCAGCCATGCTATTTTAGCTGGAGAAATTGAGTGTTAAGACATTGATGGTCGAGTCAGGAAACTATGTTTCAGGATAACACTGTCTCGTACCTTTCACAACCATTTCATATCCAAGGAAACATTGTGTGAATTTTACTCCTTTTTTTGTGAGAAAATACTCCTGCAAGAGTGAAGAATCATTAATGAACAGGAATGAAATTTCGTAAAACTTACATGCAGTCTTAAGTAATATCAATGTTGTCCTTGTTGTCCAACATTGAAATTTTTACACAGCTATAGAGTCGCAAGTAGTTCTGTTTTCAGTCTGAATTTATGACGGTTCAAAATCCTTATGAGAGATCTTACATCTCCCTCCCAGCTATTATGTCGCTAATCATATGTTGAAAGAGCCCAAACAATGAACTTATCAGACTTGTGAACAGAGTGACTCTTCAAAGAGTAATTCAAATCAGTCCGTGCTAAGATCTCTATTCTGTAAAGTTTTTTTGATGTGGAAAAAGTGCTGAAACATTGTAGTAACTTTGCTTGTTTTAATTTGATGTATAAGGGTTGAGATGCAATATCTAGTCCCTCTACGTGGGCACTCCGTTATTCGGGTGCTACAACTAACGGCAACTCCTATCTATGCATTTCTGAAGAGGTAAGGAAAGCAAAAGTGCCTTCAATTTTGAACATGCAACACGCACATCCGTGGAACACGATTAGTTGCGTCAACGCGCCACAACCTACTCACGATCAGTGTAGCACTTGTCGGTCGAGATATTCACCAATTTGAATCGGTTATTCTAAAAATGACCATGACGGGTCTTTGAATGCTTTTTCTTGAGCTTTGGAGTTGATTTCAGAGGAAACCAATTCTAGTGAGAAGCGAAATCTGACGGAAGTTACAGTGCTTAAATCGCGAATCTCTCAAGCATGCAAGAGCTTCATTACTGGTTTTTCGTCTGGATACAGTGTCTGTCGTATTGGGTCCTCGTTGGATAGTCCCACTTTTCTTAAGCCCAGTTGTAGCGCGGATGCCTGAGTCGTCGATGACAATTGGTGGAGCCCCGGGGCGCGAAACCGCAACTTCCGCGTCGGGACGCTGTGCCTCACAGTGGGTCGAGTCAATCAGACAGGTCGAACATGAAATTTTTGACGAACACTGCAATTTTTTTTGTTTATTTCGTCACTTTAAAGACTTTAAGGGGTGCTTGCTGAAGAAAATTTCACGAGGAAACCAATGGAACCACTTCTAGGACCTCAAAATTTTGTATTAATGGAGTTATCAGCTTTTAAAGTTTCCAAATTTTGTCTAACCTCTCCTGCTGACTCGATCCACTGTGTGTCGTCCGCAGTTTTCGAGAGGCGACCGCCCGTCGGGCTGTTCCGTTTTTTATTCGGATACCGGGTGGAATCCGCGATAGTGCCTAATTATTTCGCTCGACATTTCGAACAATCCAAAGTCGTTTCTAGCGGTGCGGTGGCGTCGCGAGAATAACGCTAAATTTTGGATGTTTCGACCCCTCTTGTAACGCTTTTATGACGTTAATCCTTACACGGCGCGGCGTAACGCCTTCTTAGACCCCTATCCCTCCGTAGAGCGTCATGTATCTTATGAGCAACTCTTTACCCCCAACAGTAACTTTGCAGTGCTAAGTAAGAAGTCGTATAAGCATTCTCTTATTGCTAATCCCCCTCTCCCGACCAAATATTACTTTTTGAAGTTCATGCATTTTTCCCCTTGAAATTTTCAGATAATCAGATTAAACTGCGAACAAAATTCCCTGAAAAATTCGGGGACAAATATCCACAGTTTTCCCAGTAAACTTATTTTTTTTACTGAAGAACTTATGGACTGCGTTAAGCAGAATGGGGACCTAGCCACATTGGCTATTGCCAAATTCAATCGAGCAATTTAATTTTTCACGTGAAAACGGCCGAGCGGATTTTTGTGCAAATTTCAGTGAATTTTCTGAATTGTGTGAAGAAAGTTTCTTGAAATTATCAAAGGAATCTGCACAAACGTTCTCCTGTAAACGATTAAATTGCTCGGTTAAATTTGGCAATAACTGACGTGGCTTGGTTCCTTTCTGCACTGGGAAAAAAAACACATTGGATCTGGAGTCCAGACTCTTAAAAACACCGACAAGAAAAAATACTCTTGATTCAATCGGATTTCTGCTTAAATCAAGAACCAAGCCTCTTAATTTGAGCGGATTTCCTTTTGATTCAAGCAAAAATCTGATTGAACCAAGAGTATTTTTTTCTTGTCAATGTTCTCATGAGTCTGGACTGTAGATCCAATGTGTTTTTTTTTCCAGTGTGCTAAACGCGGTCCTTATGACAATGCCTGAAAGCTCATACGGCGTTCTTCCGTACCACAGCAGAACAGAGATTCTGCAACTTGAATCTGGACTTGCGATTCGAGTCGAAACTTAAATTTTCCCATCGATGTATCGATCCGACGCGGTCGACCACGCAGCTTAAGCTTGTCCGGACTTTTTGGACATATTTCTATCAAACGGAACTATGTGCATTATGAACCGAGCCCTGTTATGCACATATTTTTATGGGTCTCAGGGCTCATGTCTTAATGCACATAGTTCTGTTTGGCAGAAATACTTCTATTTATGCTAAAAGGAACTATGTCGCACGCCAAACCTATGCACACAGTTCCTTTTAGCATAAATACGTTCATTTGTAAGTGAAACAATTGGACGTATCTATGCTAAAAGGAACTATGTTCCACGCAATTCCTATGCACATAATTCCTTTTAGCATAAATACGTTCATTTGTAAGTGTAACAATTGGACGTATCTATGCCAAAAGGAACTATGTTAAGCGCAATTCCTATGCACATAATTCCTTTTAGCATAAATACGTTCATTTGTAAGTGAAACAATTGGACGTATCTATGCTAAAAGGAACTATGTTCCACGCAATTCCTATGCACATAATTCCTTTTAGCATAAATACGTTCATTTGTAAGTGTAACAAT